TAGGGGAGGGGGCATTTCAAAGTGGGACTGTAAGTAACTCAGGCACAACGGCGGAGGTGATATCTCATATATCCATTGTCCTCGTTCTGCAATAACCATGAGAAATATTGAAATCTTAAAAAAAATTGAGATGGAAAGGATGGGGAGAATGAAATCAGATGTGTTTCAACACAGACGAAACGACAATGGTAGTACCTCGCATATCTATTGCCGAGCTTTTCATACTGTCTCTATTACATCCTTGCTCTGCTGGTGTTTCTTAAAAGGTAATCATTAAAGTATTTCATAGATATTACTCTTATCGGTTTCGAATATTGTTTCACAATCTTTGAGTCCATTTAATAGAGCCATACTCAGGGACAAAGCATATTTTCCCTCAATTTCCCCGGCATTCAAACACAGCCAAACCTGCTGTACAACAAACACATGTACAAATAGCCACCTCCCACTTTATTGAGTTTTTTTTACGTTGAAATGAAACTGTATACAACATCCACCTGTCTAAGACAAACACTTTTTTCTTCAGCAATATGTCGCAGTCTTCTTAGAAAATTCAGATTATATTCTATTCAGTTCACAAAGTTAGGAAAAAGGGGACCTTTCGTGTACTTTCAGAGGGGCTGTCAGAAAATGTTATGTTCATCAGGAACAATATTGAATATTCCTGGCATTACGAACAACAATGAACATTCTTTGCATTAGGAACAAGAACGAATATTCCTCGCATTACGAACAACAATGAACATTCTTTGCATTAGGAACAACAATGAACATTCCTCGCATTAGGAACAATAACGAATATTTCTCGCATTACTAACAACAATGCTCGCATTACGAACAACAATGAACATTCCTCGGAAGTAAAATATGTAGGGACCGTACCTTGCCGTGATGCTCGAAGTCGTAAGAATTCCTGCTGCAGATGAAGCACGTATCTCTCATGTCCGATTCCGCTGTCCACTGCAAGCAAAGAAAGGTTACAGTCATGCCTCCGTTTATTAACTCACCCCCAAAATAGACAGAAGGGTGCACAAAGAGGGTTTTATTCAACAAAGTCACCATGTTGAAAAGGAGACCGAGAACCGTAGCTTTCTGTTCATTCTTTCTGCTCCTTACTTATCGCCCTTAGGCCTACTATTATTACAGTACTGAAATATTTATGGGAGATGAAGGAGAAAATGCCAATAATATTTGTATGAACAGAAAAAGTGATCCCCATAAAAAAATATTGTCTTTGTTTTCAGTTGTAAACATTTACGTCTATTTTGAAGAACGGCTGTTGTCAAGTAACATTGTCATATCCGTTTGGAGTTATCCATACTACGTTCACCATGACAACTAGCTATTGTCTCCCCCATCCCCGCGAGTCTTAGCTCGTACATTTATTTTTGGAAACGAAATTTTAGGATTCTAAATGTTGTAAAATACAATTACCTCGTAGGTTGAAGAATACCGTGAATATACTGAATGTAGCAGGGAGAGAGAGAGAGAGAGAGAGAGAGAGAGAGA